GTTACATTAAAATTTCCCAGTATACCCTTGACATTGATTAAGTCTTGAGCTGTTTGTGCTGCTGCAATGTATTCAGCTTCGGCTGTTGATAATGCCACACAGTTTTGTTTCTTTGAAAACCATGATATTGGGTTATTACCATATAATAATATACATCCACTCACACTTTTCCTATCTTTCTTATCTGTTGCCCAATCGGCATCTGAATATCCATTGAGTGTTATCTGGCAATCTGTATTTTTATAATAAGTTAATCCCAGTTTCTTACTTCCTTGTAGATATCTTAAAATTCTTTTTCCAGCATTCCATGTCTCTGTAGTAGGACAATCTAAAAATCTACTCAAGTATGACACTGCATAACTAATGTCTGGCCTACTTGTTGTTGATAAATACATCAGTCCTCCAATTAATTGCCTGTAAGGAATATTAGTTAGAATTTCACTGTCCTCAATGTATTGAAATCCCTTTTCCATTGGAGTCTTCTTTGGTTTACATTCCTTCATATTAAAATGATCCAAAAGTTTTTCTATAAATCTTTCTTGATCAATTTTAATAGTATCTTCTGTCCTAGTAATATTCATACCTAAAAAATTTTTAACTTCCTTTAAATCTTTTGCCTGAAAATTATCTTGTAATAATTTTATAATACAGTTAACATCATTATCTTCTCCTACTAATAATATATCATCTACATATATTAATATCCAAACCTTTTTGTTATTGTATAAACAACAATCATACATAGATCTTTCAAAATTATTTTGACTAACAAATTCATTGAATGTATTATTCCATACCTTTGATGATTCTTTTAAGCCGTATAAAGCTCTATTCAATTTTAATACTCTTGAGTTTTTTATCGTAAGTCCTTCTGGTGCATAAATATAGACATCATTATCAAGTAATCCATTTAAAAATGCAGTTGGAATATGCATTTGTCTGATTTTCCAATCATTTTGTAATGCTATTGATAAAAATAGTTTAATTGTTGATGTTCTTGCTACTGGTGAGTAATATTGTTCAAATTCATTCTCCTCCTTAATTTGAAAACCTTTGGCTACTATTCTGGCTTTTTTAGTTCCATCATCCTTTGTTCTAAAAACCCATTTTGTTTGAATAGCTTTTTTATGTTTAGGTAATTCTACTTCTGTCCATGTACTTAGCTTTTCATGTGAAAGTAGCTCTTTTCTTATAGATTCTACCCATTCAGGATCTTTTATGGCATCTTCATAGCATAAAGGATCATTTTCTTCTGCTGATATTAAACAATAAGCTGTATAAGTCTCATATTCACTTAAATATTTGGGTGCTTTTATTTTTCTTCCTGTTTTTGTTGTTTCTATCTTTGGCATGCATTCTTCATAATTTTCTGAACTTATATTCTCCATTTCATCTTCATTAGCTTCATTTAAGTCATCATCTTGAATTTCTATCTCTATATCATTTATTCCCCCTTGCAGTTCATTTTCATACTGTACTTCTATTGTTTTCTTATTTGTATCATCCATCATATTGGTCTTAGTGATTTCATCATAATTAGTTAAAGTTTCATCAAATCTCACATCTCTTGAACAAAAAATTTCATTAGTTTCATAATTCCACAATCTATATCCAGCTCCTGTATATCCTATCATTATGCAAGGTTGTGCCCTTCTTTCTAATTTGCTTTGTTTTGGTAAGACTATTGCCCATGCCTTACTTCCAAATACTTTCATTTTTGATAAATCATTTTTATGGTACCATCTTGTGGCAGGTGTTTCACCATTGTTTGCTTTAGTAGGTGTTCTATTTAATTCATATGCTGAGCACAGAATTGCTTCCCCCCATAACTCTCTTGGTAGATTAGTTTCAGAAAATTTGGTTCTTACTTTGTCTAATAAGCTTCTGTTCATTCTCTCTGAAATCCCATTTTCTTGTGGAGTATATGGCATTGTATATTCCACTTTAATACCTTTATTTTTACAAAAATCTCTAAATGCATTAGATGTAAATTCACCACCATTATCAACTCTAATTCTTTGCGTTTTTAGATTATGCTGAGTTTTAATTAACTTAATAAACTGAATAATATTTTGATCAGCTTCATTTTTATTTTTTAATAATCTTACTACTAAAAAATGTGAGTAATCATCTATTAATACTTGAAAGTATTTATAACCTTCAGATGTTGGTGTAGATATTGGACCTGAAATATCTGAGTGTATCAACTGACCAATTTTTGTTGTGTATTTAAAACATTTATAAAATGGTTTACGAGTACTTTTACCTTCCATACAATCTTTACAAATTTCTGAACTATAAGGTAGTCCTAATATTTTTAAATTGTGCCTATTTATGTGTCCTAATCTCCTATGCCATAAATTATCATCTATAGTCTCATTTACATAACTTACTATATGGTTTGTCTCATTACAATAATTATATTTATTATTAACAAAATCTACCTTTAAACAAAATAAATTATTCAACATTTCACACTGAAATTTTGATCCATTTTTATTTATTATAGCTTGTCTTTTACCATTAATATCATTAACAAATGTTACTTTAAAACCTTTTTCTAATAATTTAGATACAGAAATGAGGTTATGTGATATACCTTTAACAATAAGTGCTTCTATTTTAATATCTCGTCCTTGACATGTAGCTTTTACTGTACCTACCTTATTTGCTATCAATACCTCACCATTCTTTGCAGTTCCAATTTTCACTGTGTTGATTTGTTTTACATCTACCATATATTCAACCATTTCTTCCATTACCATGTGTTGTGTACATCCAGAATCCAGAATGAATGTCTGTACATTGAGAGTAGATATGTTACACGTAGTTACACCACTTAATGCAATGAAGGCTAATTCATTTGCTTGATTCGCCTGTGATTGCTTACCACCTTGATTTCGTCTACTATGATTTGTACCACTTTGTATATATGTACTTCTTGAATGCCCTTGAAAGTTGCCTCTTGGATTGTGACCTCTATTCCCACTTTTGAATTGGCGACACTCTGATATCTTATGTCCTGGTTTGTGACATTTATAACAAATTATTGGCTGATTGACTTGAAATGACATTTCATTAATATTAGCTGGTTTACCTTGTTTTGATTTAAGTTTCATTTCTTCATCTAATAGTCTGGATTTTACAAAGTCCATTTTAATAGTTGTATTCATTGTTTCTATAGCTGTGATGACTGATTCATACTCTTCATTTAATGATAGTAATAAATGGCATACTTTGTCTTCTTCTTCTAGTTTTGAACCAGCATTTTCTAAATCTCTTATAAGGGTGTCAAACAACAGAAAATGATCTTCTAATTTTTCATTTCTTTTCAGCTTCAATGTTAACAATTTACGTTTCAATGTTAATTTTGTAAACACACTTTTTCTCTCGAATATATTCTCTAGGGCTTTAACCATTTCTTTTGTGGTATTTGCATCTTTAACTAAATCCAAGTGTTTGTCTGTTAAACATTGTACTATGATACTTTTACCTTTGGAATCTTTTAGTTTAAACTCTGCTTTCTCTTTTGGTTCACTGTAGTCTTGCTCAGTTTTCTCCAATACATCTAATAATTGTCTTTCTTCCAGTAGTATGGTTACTCTGAATTTCCAATTGTTAAAATTTGTAGCATTTGTCAGCTGAGGAACATTGACTATTGCATTAGCCATTTTATATTTCACACTTTCTTTTATGCTTCTTTATTTTTTGTCTGTCTGGGTGCCCATAACCTATTAGAATTTGTTGTTTCCCAGTGAGGTAATACAGAGATAGCAGTGAATTATTTGATTACTTTATTTTACAAAAGTACTAAAAACTAAACATGTGCTACATTCTACAAAATATATTTTACAATTGACATATGACAACCGGAATCACTTAAGACATTGTGAGCCAGTGTTGCCAAGTACAAAATTCCAATACTCAAGACATGAATGTCAACGAAGATATGCTGGAGATGATATTGTGAATAACAATGACACTGAAAGACATAGGCAGACATATGACGAACCTAATCAAATAATAAATGACTCTAAACATGATGATCAACAAGTAATTGATTTGGCTCCACGCATGAGTAATAGGGGAAGGGTGATTAAGCAACCAATTAAATTTAAGGATTATGTATACTAAAAAAAAAAACAAAAAAAAAAAAAAATTAAAAAGAGGAAGATGTCATATATTTTAGTTTTAAGTCTATTCTATTAGTTTTATGTTTTATGTTAGATGTCATATTAGTTTTATGTTTGATGTTGGTTGACATATAAATGAAGGCTGACACTTCGTGCCATGCCGATATATTGTAATGGTTCTTAAATAAAAGAGTTAATAAAAATTTAAAAAGCCTACGTTTATTAATAATACAACAATAATAATTTTGAAATTTTATAAAATCATTTAATAGAATGGGGTATAACACAAATAATTCTCCTTGTTGGTGTCTTTTTAAAAAATGTCTTAAAAAAACAAACTGTCCTACGCCTATAAAGATATCAAATAAGTGATAAATAATTTATCAGTAGAATTATTGCTGCTAATTCTATCCATAATTCAATTTTTTACAAAGAACCCAATAAAATGAAATAACAAAAATGTGGTTATGTTGCTACACACTCCTGACGTCTTGATGGTCGGTCGATCGATCGTGGACGAGTAATGTGAGTTTAAAAATAAAAATACAAAAGTTGGTTGTTCGCCGTCGGACGGTCGGTCGTGGTCGATCGAGCAATCTGATTCCTGCCTTATTGACATTTCAATTTTCACTTCGGAAATCGTTCTCAAAATACAAAATTTTAATAAAATTGCCAGATTAAAATACTTTAATTATGCCTTCGATTATCTTAATTGAAGTACATAATATTAAAATTTTTGATTAACCGTTTAATTCAGTTTATTTTTTTTAATTGACAAATTGGGAATTGACAAAAACCACAGAATATACATATCCTAGATTGTCATAATGACATTGACATTAAAAATTACGTTCGTCAATCGTCAAACAAAAAATCAATTGATTAAACGTCACAACAAACTCTGAAATACACTTGTTGCTTGCTTTGAAATATTTGAAATTTGTTGGTGCCCCAACAATCTCCATTAAAAATTATGGATTCCAAATAACACGTAAGACATTTATGAACGAAGTTTGATACATGGCACAGTTCATAATTTAATATAACCAAATCTTTTCATCTCTTTCTGTTGTAACACATAGTTGCACATTTATTTTTATTCTTTAAAATTAATAGCAGATAGTAACAGCTGCGTCTAACAATATGAAAATGAAACCAGACTATGCAGAAATGGTGGCAGCTGTTGCATTTGGTGTACTTTCAGCCATTTTTGTCAGTGCATTTGTAATTTTAGTAGTAATATGCAGAAAACAAAAAATGTTTTACAAATCAATGTTCTTTGAGGATGCTGGTGTCAGGTAGGTTGTATTTTCAGATTTTTATTCATAATATATCTATGTTACATTACCATTACTATACTGCCAATTTGTAGCACAATAATACCTACATATAAAATTACCAATTTTAATCCAATTTATGTATATTTTAGCAGTATTTCTTAATTTTTAAATTAATAAAAAGTGATTAACTTCGTCAAATGCCTTATGTGATTATATTACCAATTTTTGTTATAAGTTGTACTGATATGCTGGTGATAATCTAAGATATTGCCACAGTTTAATGCTGTGATGTCTTGTTATTTCTAGTTATGCAGATACCTTAATTAATAGTGAGTACAGAGGCTTTACTTCACGAGATCCATGATTCCTATTTTTTCCTGAAAAAAAAAAAGTTTGTTGAGTTTGACTATTGTATTTCTTGTAATTACAACTCTACAATCTTGGCGAAAGATTCTGATATAGTGTCTCCTTTTTGCTGATATAAAAAAATGCTCAGTGACAAGAGATATCACTTGAATAGGGAAGATATCACTGAAACTGAAAACTTATTTTGAAAGCAAAGATAGTGCCGCCTAAAGAAGAAAATTTTGATAAATAAAAAATAATTTTTGCAAAAAAATGTTTTATTAGTTAGACCTGTAAAATTTGAAGTTATTTCTGAATGATTATCATGAAAAATTCTTTGATATACTCCGTCTAATGAGTTAGCTGTTGTTCTGCGTCCAATACCATAGTACCGTTTTTATCTTTGGCCATTGTACATTACATTTGAGTACTACAGTCATCTCGATTTTTAAATATAGAGTAAAGCTTCATACTTCTTTATAATTCAATTTATTAACAAATTAGCATGTTTTTTAATCACATTTTGGGTGAATTATAATCGAAATTTGGATTTCCTAATACATATCTTCCAGCGCCCTGATAAAAACATAACTTTTAATGCCTTATTAATGTTTATTTCAAATAAAAGAAACATATTTTAAATCTATTTACAATTATCTAAATTTATTATGGATGAAATTTAACTTAATAAATGAAAAATAGAAGCTTAATAAAGCTTATAATAAAGCTTAATAAAGTCATTTGTGTGTAAAATGTGATATTTTTCAACATTCAATATGACAATATCATTTATATTCACTAACCTTTAATAATAAAAAAAAAAGATCTCAACCTGAAATGAATTTATCATTTGTGTGTTGAAATTGTCTCTAATGGGACTATGTTAGCAGTGAGTGAAAAGAACTAGGAATGCAATTAATTATTTCTTGTTTCTCCGAATATACGACGCTTATCATGCAGTGAGTAAAGAGAAAAAGATTACTTCAATATTCAAATGTTTAATACTGAAAAATTTATTAGTGAAATATTAACCAAAGTTTTAGTGTAGTTAATCGAAAACAAATTTTAGTGTAAAATGAAGAATTCAAAAGTATTTAAGACATATTAACAGGGACAGTAACATGACAAAACAGGAGGGAATGTATGATGTTCTAGCTAATAAGTTATTTTTAATGTTTTTATTCTCACAGATGCAGATATGCTGCAAAACATTCTCATAAATTTTTAGTTGAAACTAGTGTTTAGTAGAAAACCTATTTAAAAGACTGATATAGTAGTCATAGTATAAAATATATGAAAACAAATACAAAAACTTTAACAAAGTTTTCACTATAGGTTAATTTATGCAAGTATTCAATGGACAATGAGTTTTTTAAAATTATTTAGTTCCTGATGAAGCTCAATGTTACATTAATAGTGTACGACTCACTTAGCTCTTGATCGAATTAATAATCTGTTAGGGATTTGTTAAGAAAAATGGAACAAACTGTACTATATATAATCCAATATACATATATATATATATATATATATATATATATATATATATATATATATATATATATATATATATATATATATATATATATAATATATTGGATTTATTTTAATAATTTCATAAATATGTCCTGTCATTTTCAGGCCTGAAAAACATCTAATTGATTCTGAGCCTTCAGAACTAGAGTTGGGTGAAGTAAGTGCAAATGTTGAAGATCTAACCGATGAGCAATGGATTGATGATGCTACAGGACTGATACCACATTGCCTTGCAATTTTAAAAACTTGTAGATATCTCACAGAAAGACTGACTGCTCTAGCTATGAGTTCTACTCCTGCTTCTGGAGATTTTAGACAGATTGTTGAGGTAATGTATAATTATTTTTACCTCTCTTCAAAGTTTGTTCAAACTAATTATTTTGTTTAATATTTAAATATTAATGGGATACTAAAACAATATTATATAAACAAATAAGTTGAGATTTGTAATGGTGCATTGGTTAATGGGGACACCGTCAGGGATGAAAAATGTTTAGTGTATGGAATCACTACATAAATTTAAGATTGGTCAATGGATGGTTTTAGCAACAGTGTTAGATATTTTGCAACATCTTGTGTAGGAGAGTCAATTGAGCTGATGTTTTAGTGTGAGGCAAACATACGTTGGTTATATAAGAATTAGAAAATGGCTAATATTATGATAAACATTTTTTATATGTCTTTTTTTATTTCATTTATTGGTTTTTTGAAAACTGGGAATACATTTATGAAGTAATTTTCCAATTTTCGGAAACCTACAATAACATCTACAGTAAATACATATTTAAACCATAGTAATCAGAAATAAAAGTTTTTGTTGAATATAAACAAATAGATGGGTTATGATCTAAAAAACTAAATAGAAATCTACCTAAGGGCCCCATCATCTTAATTAGGACCAGCGATAACGGAATGCAATGCAAGGAATGGATTAAATATTTATAAACAATATTTATTTAATATCATATATGTAATAGTTGAGGGTCACCACTCTAAAAGTTTAGAGAACCGATTATAATATTCGAGGGAACCCTACTGTCACCATTCTAATAAATGCCGCTGTCATCATTGTAAAAGACGCCTGTCTCAAATCCTTGAATGTGTCTACAATTCTTAGGGGATACTTATCCCTGCAAGCGGAGGCAAGGCTAACTGGTCCCACTATTCTGAAAGGACTGGTTTCGCCCTCGCGGGTTTTCAGCAGGGTAGGGAAATTCGGGAAAAGGGGATGAAGGACTTCCAGGTTTCAGGTCCTGTATAGAGTTGAGTCTATGGGCTTGCTTTAGAAGCGGGAGAAAGGTATAAGCAGAAAATGTGTACTCTTCTAGTCTCTACCTGTAACGGCCGGGAAAGAACAATAAAACCAAATTTTGAGTTTACAATATATAAAATAGACTGTATACTACAACTAAGACAACAAGATATCAGTTATAACCAATAAAGATTCGATCAGACGCGAAGGGAGACGAGAAGAGACTTTAGCAAGAAATTAAAGGGTGGACAATCTACATTTATTATATATGCCCTGGGTTAGTATATAGATTTAGTTAACTTCGCGTATTTAGGCCCTAGCTAATGAATACGCCTTTCAGTTCTACTGAAATTCAGGATGTCTGTTGAGGTACCACGCGCTATCACGAATTTTCGAAACACCAGATACTCGGCACTTATACGGTACTCTATCCCGTCGAATTACAATAGCGCGCTCACTGGTGCCTCGTACTTATTGCCCCGACCGCCCGTGCTTCTGGCATGGAGCACTCTCGGGTGCCTAGTTCTTACTGACTCTCCTGGCCCACTTCGTTCGTTTTTTATGAACCCGTATCCACAATTACCGATCGCAGTACCGAGGTCGAGTTTATACTGACCGAGCCCTCGTGCTTAAAATCGGGTCATGCGGTGGTGTTATTTTCCAACGAAGGTCTATGTTTTAAACGTGATTTTTTTCTTTTAAACAATCGTGGCGACCTGATATTGAGACTCGTGTAATACACTTAAACTAGGTCGAGTTTTCATTCTTTGTTTAATTTGAAATGTATACGTTAACTATGTCGAATTATTTGTTCTTTATTCAATTTGGAATATATAATAATTATTTAAATAATTATTCCTCTTTTCTAGGCTAACTACCCCTATTTTTTTTATTTCTTCTTTATTTCCTTGCTATGTTTACATTACATATACAATCATAAATTAAAGATTAGTATGTCTGTTAAAATATGTCTAAAAGTGTGTTTTTTATTTAATTTACCTTAATTTTTACTTTTAACTTACAATTAATTCACATTTTAAAAGTTTTACACTATATGTATTTTAATTTACCATCGTTTTTGTAAATTTCCCAAGAGTATTGGTTCATTGTCATAGTTAACTTTCGGGACTAGATAATATAAATTTATCTTTTGTTATCTCCGGTTACTAATTATTTTCGATAACACATTGTGCCTGGATGAACGAACCAATACAGCATATTATTACAAATTATACGTAAACAGTCAAGTCTATTCCGAGAATGTTTAGTTGAATAGGGTACAGTGAACTCTCTCTTGACCAGACAACTCGTTCCAAAGTGTCCTTCTAAGGGAGGTGTCTGTTGAAGGGAATGAAATCGTAAACTTAAATTTTTTAAAAATATTTGTATGTATGAAAATGTTCGGCACGTATAGGTAGGGGAAAGGGGGGTAAGTTGGCGAACTTAAGACTAATATCCAAATTACTCTTCTTTTTCCAAATTAAAAATATTTATTTATTGATATTTTGAACTCTAGTAGTCACAGTAATCAACCTACAAAATATCATAGCCATAGCTAAACACATTTTTGTCCTATATATATATATATATATATATATATATATATATATATATATATATATATTTTTTTTTTTTTTAATATGAAATCTTCGTCATCTTACCGACAAGCGTTGATAAGTTGACGAACTGTATCGGGTAAGTTGACGAAAGAAAAATAACTAATCGAAAAGTATAACTTTAAATAAAAAAAAATCTAACATAAATGTAAAAGGGATAAATGAAAAAGTCCTTTAATTAAGCACTTAACAGTTATAAGCTAGCAAAAACAGGTTTTTTAAAGTCTAATTGTAACAAAAGTCCACACCCATACTTTAGACTTCGCTTTTTTTAAGTTTAGACCCGTGCATTCAGAATGAGCCCATTTAAAGCACGTGTCATATTGAAACCATAACTCGTTGTTTTTGCCTTCTTCATTGTAAATCAAACACAATTTGTCGTCTTTTTCATTCTCTATACCTATATCGTTATCACTGTCACGATAAGATATTTCTACTGAACTCTCCGAAGAAGAAGAATCGAATAACTGTCGTTTTGTATTTTCATTTGTTTTATTTTTTCTTATATTTTTTTTAATTTGAGTTTTTTGCTGGTTTTTAGTTTCTGTGGCTTTTCAACTGACTTCAGTTGTTTTTTTTTTCGTTCTTTGTCTAGTTTTTCCTTTTGTTTTTCTTCCAGAGCATGTTTTACAGGTGTGCTGGAAAGAATCAGAGAAGGTAGTTTTTTTCTACATCGTCTATTTTTTATGATTGCTTAAGGTAGAGGAGGTAATCCAATTGTCGTTTGGATTTTCTTGGTTGGGGTTCGTGGTGGCTTCATTAAATTACAAGTTCAAGTTGAAGGCATATAATGACTGTCTACTAGTGGTGACGGCTTAGCGATGTTTACTCCGGAAGTTGAAGGCACTGACTCTGGCAAGATATTAGCTTCCACACTTTCATGTAAGTTGAGTTCTGGTTGGCGAGATTCTCCTATAGGCGTAGAGTTCATTCTCTTTCTGATGTTTTTGATGTTTCAAAATCAACTTCGATGAATATTTGTGAGTCAAATGGTTCTATACCTGTGGATCTAAAACCGCTTATGGCATTTGCAACCGTTGCAACTTGCAAGTATGCTTTACCAAAAATGGAGGCTATATCATGTAGAGTTATAGCTTTACCGGCTTTATACTGCTGTATGCAGTTTTCAAAGGCCCATACAGTGACACATCCAGCGGCTGCATTCTGTGACATTAAATGTGTGACTGTAAATTGTTTTATATGATTTCTGACAAATTTATAAGATATAAACCTTTCAACCAACCATAATTTCAAAACTAAGGAGTCATCAATATATTTTTAATTTGATTTTAGAGCGCAAGGAGAATATCGAGCAGAGTTGATGACATGGTAAGAAGTATGTATCCTCCTTTAGATCCCCGACTTCTAGAAGCCCGAGCTGCAGCATTAACGTTGGCTGTAACTCATTTGGCCCTTTTGGCTAAATACGAATGTGGTTCAAAAGAAAGAACGCTGATGTGGATTGATCAGTCTTTGCACGATATGGACAGTCATTTAATGGTAAGTATCTCTTTACGAATTTGTTTTAGGTAGCAGGTACCACTCTTCTGCAGTCCCAGTAGAAGGCAGGATGGTACACGGATTGGTGACCCCGTCGTGTGTTACCTGCTGATTCTCCCTCTTTCCTTGCCTCAGGTGGCCGGAGAACCTCATACCCTTTCCTGTCTCTGCCTATAAAAACTCCTACCATCCATCCCTCATCTACCAACTTGCACTGACCAGTGCGGTAGAATATGGCTAAAATCCAAACATGCTTGACAGCAAACACACAGGTTTCAGTCCCCAGCAGTAAGCTAATCCTTGGTCAAGGTAGTAAAGAGAGGGTGCGAAGAATCCCCGGGCCAGATCATACTACAATGGATGACGAGAAATGCATATCGCCAATTGTATATATTGTACCTGTACAATTTTTTGTACAGATACAATAATAATCGATTAAAAAAATTGATTTGCTGATTGGGGCACACAAAATTTTTTTGATTAAAAGGGCTACAAGCTGTTAGTGGTAATTCCATAAATTTAATATTCCCCAGAAACATTTACAATAACTAAAAAAAATTTAGACTTGCTTTTTCACTTCGACAAGTTTTAAAATAGATGTAAAATACCATGTTTGTAACCTTTTCTTTTTAAATTTTAACTATGTTTTTTTGTTTTAGTTTTTAAGAGATGCATCTGTCCAACAAGAAACAACAAGCAAAATCCCGAATTCTATGAATCTGAGTACTCCTTTATGAGTGTAAAGAAATCCTTATATACTCTATCTTTTATACATATATATACACTATTTGGAAAATAATATATACATAAATAAATATATTTTAAACAAACTTTGTGTTTTAATAACCTGAAGTTATTGATTATGTTTTGGGCTGGACAAATCGCTGCCTGGGTATTATAAGGGTGTATTTAAGAGGACAGTCTCATGCGGAACTTTCAAAAAATCAATTTTAATTTTTTTTATAAATCTCTTCCATGTACATACAAAAACTCTCTCCAAAAATTTTAAACAGAAATTTCCACTAGAATATAAGTTATAGTTATTTTATTAATGTCATCTACGCACGTATGAAAACCGGTTTCTCTCCGCTAGTATGTATATCAGTATAACGTTTGGCAGTTACTATTTATTAATCCAAATATTGTTTATAATTTCAAATTAAAAAGAGTGTACCTAATATAATTATTTTATTTTTAAAATTCCTTTTTATTTTTAATTTTAGAAATCAACTTTTTTTTCAAGCCGCTTTTGCAATAAAACAACCATTTTTTTTAGTTATAAAATATTTTCATATCTACATTTATAAATAAGTACGTTTTCGTTGAATCGACATGCGATCTAGGTGTGTTCCGTTTTTACAGTTACACTGGCAGCATCGCGGCGCGGCGTGAATTGAGAGTGAGACTCCAGTCAAACAAATGAATTAATTATAAAACATCGCGACGTTGTATTGAAATTTACAGCTTTACAAAGCCATTTACAACTGTTGGATGAAGACGGTCCTCAATATTCACCAGGAATGACCGATTAAACGTGAGTATAAAGTTATCAGCCTTTTGTTCACGAAAATTATGTAAAAAAAACTTTAAATGCTTTTTTCTCAAAAGTAACATTTTCAAACTGGTCAGACACTTTTCTCCAAACCTTCTTAACCGATTTTAAAAAACCAAAAATTTTTCGAATGTATATAGAAAGTACTAGATGATAAACCTTTAAAATATTTAAAAACCACCCTCCCTTTTATTATATATGGGTAAATCCACCGAAAAATATAGTGATTTTTCGACTTTTTTGAAAAAATTCGTATAGTCTTCAAAATAATACAATTTGCATATTTTAAAGGTTTATCATCTAGTTTTGAGTCTCATGAATACAACCCATTTTCAATTTTTTGAATATCTGTTACAGGTGACCCACAAAGTGTCTTACCACCAAAAACGCACTTTTTACTACACGCCATCTACAGGACACCAATGAAGTTAAAATTGCTATTAAACATTTTTATTATGTACTTTAAGACTTACTTAATCATCTCCAAAAGGAATTATGTTAATAAATATTATAGTTTTTTTTCTGCTTTAATTTTAAAATGAGTCTTTTTTTTTAATCGCATGAGACTGTCCCCTTACAAAATTAAAAAATAAGCAATTTTACGATAACAAGGTTCTATGTATCAAAAGGTACCCATAAACCTTTGTAAATCTAAAATATAAAATCCCCTAAAATTAATTAAAAATTATTGGTGTATGCAATAAAAATATGAAAAGAACGCAACATAGTCCTATGTTAAACATACAACTTGGTTTTTCGCAAAATTTTAGTAAACTGTCCAAACGCAGAATAACACGGTCCTATGTAGTATATAGAAATAAGCACAACTGAAATAAGTATTCCACAGTGAAGAAGAAAGGGAAAAAATGCCCAAACTCAAAAAAAACTAAAACCTTTAAATTCTTCTTAATTTTAAGTAATAACAAAATACAGGTTTGCAAACAGTTTTACTGCGCAACACTAGGTAGTTAAAAACCTATATACACCGTTTACAAAAATTCTACAGAAAAGAACACAATTCGTCAAAGTGTTCAGGGAAAGCATAGAAAAAAAGTTACATCAGATTAAATTACATTTCTCAATCATTACATTACAATATCAATCTTTTCTACTGACATGTCCCGCCTAACCGTCTCGCACCAGAACTTCCCCTTCTAATCCTTATAGGAAGCAGCAGATAAGTAATTCTTCGTATTGGGTCTGCTAAATTCTCGATATTGAATATGACCAAACTATCTTACTAAGCTCTTTCATTTTGGCATCAATTGGTGCCACCCCCGACTTCCCCATATAGTCATTCTTAAGCCGCGTTGACATGGGTAGTGAATCACGAGCTAGAGCCACACTCGTGGTAAACAAATCTTAATAACTTCACGACCGTGGACATGCCTCTTTCGTTAAGAGAGTTTGCACGGTAAATATTTGCTTCAGTAGCGAATACGCAGACTTTGGATGGCAAAAATGTGTCAAGTTATGTGTGAAGTGATAGCAGACAGGATTTCACAAAACTTACTAAGAAAAAGGAAGAAAAATGAAGAAAAGAACGATGATTTAAAAGGGAATGGATTCAACGCAGAAGTCAAACTAATTTAATTAAAGACATCTCCGAGCACCCTGAAGATTTTAAAAATTTGCTTTAGAATGTCGGAACACTATTTTCAATATTTATTGGAACTTGTTAGCCCTAAAATTAAAAAAAAATCTACTAATATGAGAGACGCTCTATCGGCCAAACTGAAATTGCAAATAACACTTCGATATTTAGCTACTAGAAACTCTTTTGAAAGTTTAGTACACGGCTATACATGTAGTTCTATATTTTATATTGGTACCACATACATGTAGTTCTATATTTAGTATGTGTATGTACAAATGCATCCATTTGAAAATAATTCTGGCAACGTCCGTGTTTAGAATATTCATTTAGAGTCCCCAAATCATCTATAAGTAATTGTATTGGAGAAGTTTTGGTTGCAGTTTGTGATACTTGTAAAAGAATTTATCCAGGTAAGAAAAACATTTATTCATTTTAATTTGCTTTCTGGCTTAAGTTTATGTCTCAGTTAAGCCTAAATCAGCTGTAGACTATAATGTGCAAACGTTTATTAAAAATGGTTTCCCTGTTGCCTAATTTATTTTACTACTTTTTCCAATATGTTAAAAAGAGACACGCCAACGTATCTGCATTTGGTTGACATCCCGTTTTCTTTAGCTTCCCTGCACTTTTTTCTGATTTTATTGGCTCGTTTGTATTCTACTGGGTTTGTTTTGTTTTCGTCCACGATCTCTTTAGTTATCCATTCTTGTTTTCTGTTGGTTTTCGTCAACCCAATGTCGTCTTCTTGTATCTTTCGTTATGAGAGCAGTCCATGTTACATCAACGTCTGTCTGTACCAAGTTCTCTAGCGTTTCTATTTCTTTCTCAACCTTGATACTTATTTCATTTTTCTTTTCAGGGTTCTTCAGTTGTGAGATGTCACTTTTCCCTTTTAACTTTAAGAAACCTTTTTAGTATAAAATCCAGTATAACTGGATTGTGATAGCTATGAATGTCAGCTCCAGGATATGATTTAGTAGATTTTATATAGTTCTTGAAGTTGTTATCGAGCAAAATGAAGTCAATTTGATTTTTAACAATTTTATGTTTTCTATCTGCAGGTGATTTCAAAGTGTATAGCCTTCTAGGATGTTGTTTGAAGAAGGTGTTGGCTACTAACTGGTTGTTCTCTACGCAGAATTGTACCAGTCAATCTCCCCTATTGTTTCTGATACCGAGGTCGTACCTAGTATTTGCCGCATTACAAAAATCTGGTATGTCGTATGTTGTTCTAATATGTTTTTTTGCTCGACAACAGCAGTAACGCGCAAGCTTATAAATAAAAGAAAACAACCTTGGAAATTCAATTTGTTTATTACTCTGTTTTAAATACTTTTTATCACAATGATGTTCAAGAGGACCTACCAATCACAATGGTTAAACACTGTAGGTAAATTTTAGCTTATGATGTTAAATGCTAAGAAATGTGCATATTTTTCTAGTGTAAATTAAAAAAAGCCTAATTCTAATTATTTTTTTAATAATCCACCTTTGGAAGCCAATAATATATCTATATGCAAGAATGATTTATCGAAAAGAGTTTTTAGTTAAACTAGATGAAAATCTAGAAATAGAAAAGTTTTTTAGATTTTTAGATGATTAACTGCTTTGTGTGGAAGTTATAAAAAGCAGCCATGTATGGCTTCCAAAGACGATTTTAGTTGAATTTTATATAAAGCACATAAATAAATGTATATTCAAACAACAATGAACAATGTAATTATTAGTATAGCGAAACAAATAAATTTAGACCCGCCTTTTCAACTTGAAAAATGATAAGTGCTTCTGACGTTATTATGAATCTCTTATCATGCAGCCGTTTTGTTTTGTTTTTCAATTCTTGTAGTGGCAATGTTTAACCCCGAGTAGATGAATTTATAATAACGTTAATAATCCAGTAACTCTGTGCGAAAATGTCTACGGAAATTAGGTGAAACAGATTTATAAGGAAATGCAAGTAATGTACTTGTATAACATAAACATACATTTGAGTAGTATAAATGAGTAAAAAATAGATAATTCTATTGAAAATCCATTTGGACAAACTTGTTTAACTAACACTAACAGATAGCAAATGTAGCGTCACAATCCAGAACATTTTAAGACCGTTTTGTTGCAAAATTAACTAGGACCGAAATGGAGTGCCGTGTCTTGTATTTAATCTTGCAGCGGAAAACAGATTTGAGAGTAACATTATTCTGTAAGTCAAGTAATCAGATATCTAGACCAATAAATATCTAGAATTAGAGGCTCTGAATAAACCTTCGTTAGTGATTAAAGATAATAACGTCATCGACTAAATTAAAAGAATAGCTCTTGTCAATAAGAATTACCTACGGACTGAAAAATCACATGGCCTAAAATTGCCCAGAAAAATTAAATTGGTCGGCTATACTGAGTCCACGTTACAGAGATAAGAAACCGTTTCTTAAGTACATATGGGGTAGACAAGGACAAAGATATTGTTTCAAAGTTTATAACTTTGATTTAAGTAGACATTTTAGGGAGCCTAACTTTGTGAAATTAATTTGGGTACTATGTTTGCCATAAAATCTATCGGATTTAAAGGATGGAGAAGAGTTGCCTGAGATAGGGCGGATAAGAATATTGGTCTGAAGAAGACTGATGATCATTCATAATAAATGATAACGCCAATGATGTCGCTCCAGAGCAGCAGTAGATAGAGTAACCATAGTGATGATGATATTCAACCTCTGATTGGGAGACGGCACTTAAAGAAGAAGATACCCAACAACATACAATATGTGGAAGAAGTGTAATCTGTATCTGCAACAACATAATATTACAAGAATAAGAACAACGTCCGATAATACAACAATCCTAATAATGGTTTCTCTTCATATCGCTAGTGCAGCTAGGAGTATAATAGGGTACTCTGCTATTTCTTGGGATTATCATATACAATGAAGGTAATGAGGTCAGTAAACTTTCAATCTTTTATTCGATATATCGGTATATGAAACCGGGCCATCTGACCTATCCGATTCTTAACAAACTTAATATTGAAATTTTGAATAAGACCATAAAAGCATATCTCATTAATTAGCTCAGTTAAAATTTTAAAATCTGATGAGAGACGAAAGAACGTCTCTTTTTTTAAATTAAATTAATTATAATAATAAATAAAAAATTAATAAAAAAAAACTTTAACGTACGCAAATTCAAGACTCACAAATTACAGCAAGAAATATTTACGATAAAATTATTTTTGTACTATTAACATAATTTAATGAAACAACCTATATATGAAACACGTTTATTAAATAAATAAAACCAAGGCCGGTCAATCATTTAATTTCGACATACCATACAATATGCTTAAATAATTTTATGTTAAAAATGAATCTAACGTGATAAAAGAATTACACTTTCTTCAATAGCTCCTAATAATCTGAAGTATTGCTTTTAAATGTTTAATCATTATTTCCGTTTTGCGGCATCCTTCAAAATTTTTGTTTTCAAGTGATCTTTGTATGAAAGAATATCGCCTTGCCACTTCGTTACTGTTCCTTTTTCGCATACCCAAATTTCTTCCGCAACCTAAAACAATAAAGTATATGTAGGTAAAGTCGCCTCGTATTTCGGAGAGACTGTGTAAGAATATATTTATCTGTAATAAAAGCAGGCAATAAAAATTAAAATAAAAGTACTCTACAAGGAGTAGTTATTAACTGCAAAATTATCAATGACTGAGATATATAATAATACAAACTTTTAATATTCTCATCGATATTTACATTCAGATGTGCCTGGTATTATGTTTGAAAATATGTATAGTCACCCAGATAAAGTTATCATCGATGCATTATTTGCGTAAGATAACAATATTTTGCCTGAGCGACCGAAACCATAAAGTAGTTTATCCGAATAAATTTCGTGTCGACCGTCCAGTGGTTTACACGTCGGTAGGTAGGTATAATATTTTACTTAATTTTAAACTTTATTTTTAAACGAAATATTGTTTATTTCGATGAAACCGGGTATGGTACACATGACACCGTGAAAAAAGTTGGACGAATAATAACAAAAAGTATTCTAATTCAGTACCGCCCAATAAAAGACAGAATTATAATTTTACACTGCGGTGTAGAAAATGGATGCATCGACGATGTATTATTAATATCTGCAAAAAGAAATTAAAGACGTGAATCTAGATTATCATGAGGATATGGAGGGTTCAAGAATAAAAAAGTTCAACTCAGGAACCATAGATGTAAACGTTCAATGTTTTTTTGAAAAAAAAAAAAAACAGAAGTTAATTTTTATAAAACTAACAAAGAAGGGAAGTACGTAAAAATATGTAAAAGAACAGTAAATTTTACGAAAATACTTTTAAAATGTGGCACCCGTGGTGTGATAATTCTGCAGCTGAAGAGCCAGCGCAACCCTCTTAATCAATTGAAATATTTTTACAAAGCCTTGTAGTAAAATTTAAGCGACATTTTCAATACCTCTCTGATGATCCCAAACGTATACTGAAACATGTTTATGAAGGATTGTGTTCTAAATTGTCTAAATCAGAAGCAGAAACATTTTATCAGAGTATGGAAAGCAACCTGCTACAAGACTATAGGAGCAACATCTTCTTCTAGACAGATGAGAAAGAATTGTGCAAATTCACACAAATAGAACCGCACCTAAAGGAACATATAATCAGAACAATATACAAAATAGATGCGGCTAATATTTTTCCAACTATTGAAAGCCCTCGAAGTGAACTGGTTCGAAAGGATATTCTCTTATATTCAGCAACAACACGTTGATGATTTCTTAAAAACCATAATTTTAAGTAAAAAACTATAGACAAGCGCCAAACACTAATGGAAAGTACTAGAATAATTATTTCTTTAAGAAACATTTCTATCAGATAGATAACTGAGTATCAAAAAATGAAACGAAATGTTTATTTAGATGATACTTGGAGTGATACTCATGACAGGACAGAGAATTATAATTTTACACTGCGGTGGAGAAAATAGATGGATCGATTATGTATTATTAATATCTGCAAAAAAAATTTAAGACGCGTCTTTAGATTATCATGAGGATATGAAAAGTTTAACTTTTGAATCATGGTTTAAAGAATCTCTTCTTCCGAGATTACCTAAATATAGTGTGATTATCATGGACAACGTATCATATCATTCAAGATTAATGAGAAAATTCCAAATATTACTTGAAACAAATTACAAATTCAAGAATTTTTATTTGAGAGAGATTTTTACTTTGAGGCATCATGTAGTAAAAAGCAATTGTTGGAGGTTGTTTATGGTAGACAGTACCAGAAGGAATATGTTGTTGATAACTGTACTCGCAATAATGGGCATACCGTGCTTGGACTTCCTCCTTACTATTGTAAATAGAATCCAATAGTTAATATGAACTCAACTTGAAACGAATAGAAGAAGAAGAAACGTGGCTCCTAACTAAATTTTTGTCTACTGCTCTCCAGTTAATTAGAAGAGAAGTCACAAAGATCACAGCAACCAACTGGAAAAATTTAATCAAACATGTAATCGCAGTGGAAAATGACTATGTTAAATATTTACCAGCAATAATCAAATTAACTATAAATTTAGAAGATACACCTGATACTAGTGATAACAGTGATTCTGAGTAGATTAGTAAGTTCTTATTTACAACTAGGTGTTAGTTGAAACCTTTATTTTTATTGTAATTGTAGATATTCTCGTTTTGGTTATAATGATCGTTAGGTTAAAATGACAGGGTTCCAACTAACAAAATCGCATATTTGGAAATATTAGTGTGAAAAGGTTCCAACTGATCTTCCCTATCTTTTGATCTAACAACAGCGCTGGCTAACAACGCAATTCTGACTCATTACAATGCCAAGGTTCCATCTGTGAACATAAATAAAACAAAACTAGAATGACATGGTTTCAGGTGACACATGAAACCTTGTCACTCAACCAATAATTAAGATTTGTAGTTGTGTTATTATTTGAATACTAAAATACTTTTACATAAAAAATTTGTTTAATTGGATGTGATAATTACTTTTATTAACAATTTTTATAGGTATTATTATTTTACAATAAGTTCTGTTTAGTCAAGTCTATTAGTTTTATCACTCCCTAAATGTATCACAGAAGTTAACAACACCAATATTTTTTATTTAAACTTTATAGAAAATGAAACTTTTTGTTAAATAAAATTAAATAAAAATAAAAACTTTTATTTGATTTAAAATTAGACATCTACGCTACTGTTCAATAAAGTAGTGACCAGCCTAACATTGTTGCCATTTTCTAGGATTTTACTCGCTCTGGTTCCTATAAATTTTCTCACGAAATTACGTGTCGACTAATCTCCAATGTCGTACTGGGTGATGCAGTGGTTAGTATCGCCGCGTATAACGCGGGAGATCTGAATTATCCACATGAAATTTCCGTAGTGTCAACTTTCAAAGGCATACTGCTACCACAATTGCATGTCATTCGGATTATTATTTACCTAATTACACTGCGTAAAGTGACGATAGTTTTGTGATTTTTTATAATTAATGGCTTCAAATCAATTTCATGTGTTGATGTATCACTGTTATTTGATGGGAAAAATATCGTCGAAACTGACCAATGGCTCAAAAAGTATTACCAGGACTGCTCCATTTATTAAAACCATTACACCATAGTTTAATGAATTCAAACGCCGTCGCACCGACAGACATTATGCTGAGCGCTCTGGGCGACAAAATGAGGCAGTTATTCCCGAAGCATCGAAAAAAAAACGGTGAAAATTGTTATGAAAACCAGTGAAGTTGAAGTTGCAAGAGAAAACTGACTACTATGTCTGTCAAAATATGTTTATGCATACATATGCGATTAATCCCATCCAAGCAAAATATTACTAAGAATCATTAAACGCCGTTTGCAACAGTACTTAGACAACCAAATTCCCCAAGAACAAGCAGGCTTTGTCAAAGGGAAGGGTACGAGAGAGCAAATCCTTAATATGCGGCAGCTCATAGAAAAGGCCCGCGAATTTAAAATTCCAATAATAATCTGTTTTCTAGACTACCAAAAGGCATTTGATTGTGTAAAGTGGGAAGTTCTCTGGACAGTTCTTCATGAGATGGGAGTTCCAGATCATTTGGCAATATTAATTAAAAACTTATACGAAGATAACTCAGTTAAAATAGGAATTGAAAACCAGCAATCTGATACCTTCAAAACCAGCAGAGGTGTACGACAAGGCTGCATACTATCTCCAGACCTGTTCAATTTATATGGAGAATACATAATGAGGAACGCACTCGATGGATGGAGAGGCGGCATCTCCATTGCAGGAAAAAAGATCTCAAACTTAAGATTCGCAGACGATACAACACTGATAGCAACATCTGAAGAGGAGATGTCGAGACTGATAAAGAGAGTAGAAACCGAAAGCAACAAGTGTGGGCTCAAGATTAATAATCAGAAAACAAAAATCATGATTGTGGACCACGCGAATATCCTCCAAACAACAGGCGCCCTAAATCAATTCGAGAAAGTAGACGAGTTCACGTATCTAGGATCTTCCTTAAGCAATGCAGCCTCCTGCCATACGGAAATTCGCAGAAGAATAAGAATGGCCAAGAACGCGATGAGTCGACTGTCAAAAATATGGAAGGACCGCTCTTTGCCCAAAAAACTCAAAATGAGACTGGTACGGACACTCGTTTTTTCAATCTTTAGTTACGGTGCCGAAACATGGACAATAAAATCAGAGGATAGGAAAATGATTGACGCATTCGAAATGTGGTGCTGGAGACGAATGCTACGCGTCTCGTGGACGGAGCACAGATCCAATCAGTCGATTCTCGAAGAGCTAAACATTCAGACCAGACTCTCCTATCAGTGTCTTGCAAATGTTTTAAAGTTTTTTGGCCACATTGCGAGAAGAGACAATGACACCTTAGAAAGACTAATTGTGTGCGGAAACGTAGAAGGACGTAGAGTCCGAGGACGCTCACCTATCCGATGGTCAGATCAAGTACAGAAAGCCACTGGAGAGACGTTTTCCGAGTCCATGAGAGCAGCCCAAAATCGCAAGAGATGGAGAGAATTGACAGCCCGCATTGTAGGGAATCACGATCCTTAGCAATGAGGAAACGACAAGAGAGATGCGATTAATCTGTAATTATATAATATTATCTAAATGTGACATTGTTCGCAAAAGGTATTTAAAAAATGGGAATTCAGAAATAAAATAAAAATCCTTTAAACAATTTCAAATAAATAGAAACTGAACCTACCTGACTGATTAATCTAAAATCGTGACTAACTAGCACCATTCCTCCTTCAAATTCATTAATAGCATCTGCAAGAGCATCGATCGTTTCCATATCCAAGTGATTCGTAGGTTCATCAAGAAGAAGCATATGAGGTACTTGCCATGCTAGCCAAGCGAATACTACTCTGCACCGTTGACCGTCAGATAATTGTCTAATAGGACATACCTGGAACAAATTAAATCTATCGTTAGTAAATAAAATTAAAAATTTTCACTTAGTTTTCTCTTATGAAAAGGAGCAATTATAGTATACAACGATAAGTAAGTACTTCCAGTATTTTTTCCACTTTCCAGTATTACTTCCAGTAGGTTCTATTTTCAGGTCATTTTGGTCACTCTCTGTAAATATTTCTTAGGGAGAGCACCCACCAAACTGGGCGTGGCAAGTAGCAAGCGTCTAGCATGGTATTTAAAATATAACCAATGAAAACGAATGATTTAGCGCACACCAAAATGACAGTGACGACATTCATTCTAATCCCTCGTTTTCATTGGTTACATTTTAAGTAACATGCTACACGCGTGCTACTTGCCACGTCATTTTGGTGGGCGCTCTCACTTACATTATTTTTTTTGTCTCTCGTTGCGCACCGGATTCACAACTAAATGTTAATATACTACATACTATTTTAAACGCAATTTTCATATCTCTGGTTATTTCTTCCTTAAGTTGTTGCTCATTGTGTATAGTATAACCTTAATGTCTTCTCTGTTCTGATGTTAATTTCTGTTTCGTGTCTCCCTTTCTTCAATTCCAACCCCTACTTAATTAAATATTGTTATCATATATATATATATATATATATATATATATATATATATATATATATATATATATAATATACTTGTTTTCAGTAGATGCACGGATAATATAAAGCGCATCACCACAAATTGGATGCAAGAAGCTCAAGATAGAAATCGAAAGAAAATTTTACGGGAGGCCAACATTCAGCAGTGGACAAATATAGGCCAGTTGACGATGATAATGTACCCTGCTCCATATTTCTAGGCTCTTCTTTAGGTCTCCGCCCCTTCTTGCTATGAGCGTTAGTCATCGGCAAATGTCGCTTCGGATATATAATTTTTTTGTAGGTCCCTGTATCAAATTTTGTGTTTTATTGGTACATTCCTTTATGACACTGTCTATGTATATTATGAACAGAGTTGAGCTTAAACTTCTACTTTGTCTTATCCCTCTCATCATCACTTGGCTCTATGTGAGTCTTAGTCGCGTTTACTATTTCCCTCCATTGTTGTCGGTCCTGAGCAGCTATTTCCCATTGCTGTATTCCCATTTTGCGCAGACCACTGCCTACTGCGTCCTTCCTTCTCTTTCTTGGGCGACCAACTGACCTTTTGCCATCGGGTCGTTCCCAGAACGTGGCGTTCAGGGGTCTTTCGTCACTTGATCTTAGCACGTGGCCCGTCCATCTTATCCGGTTTGCTTTAATATAGCGTACTATGTTTTTATCTCCATATACTGTCTGGAATTCATCATTGTGTCTTCTTCTCCATTCTCCTGTTGTCTCTTCTCTGCAAGGCCCATAGATATTTCACAGTATCTTTCTTTCCAGTACCAGTAATTTTGTCGTTTTTGACGAATTATTGTCTTATACACCCTTATTTTTGCTGGTATTGAGAGTATTTGATTTAAGTACGGTCATTAATGAGTGATACGCCCTGTTTTCTGCAATGATCCTGGCTACCACATCCTTTTCATATTTATTTTCAGATGTTATGATTGCTCCCAGGAACTTGAATTCTTTGACGACGGGCCTTGGGTTCTTCGTAACCACCATGTACTTGGTCTTGTCCTCATTGACCTTCAGATCAAATTCCTTGGCTCCGTTTTCGAATAGGGTGAAAACTTCTTTTGCATCTCTGGTGGATTGTGCAATTGTGTCCACGTCATCTGACGAGACGAGGCAGGGGGACGAGAGGATATCCTTGTCAATGAGGAATTCCTCCGACGTGGTGCTGCGAATTCTGATCCGTGCGGAAGCGTTCTCTGTGCTCACCTGTGCTAATCGTACCAGCTTTCCAGATACTCCCATTTCTACCATGGTCTCTCACAATGCTTCTCTGCTAAACAGAATCGTAAGCTTGTTTAAAGTCTTATCCCTCTCTCTGATCTAAATTTTCCTGACACCATATTGTTTCTGATAACTACATTTTATTATTACTATATTACATATTACATCTTTTTGCCTTGCAGTTTATATAAGGTACAGATTAAAGCAAAAATCTGAAGTTTGGTTTCGTCAATCAAGAAATCTTCGTATTTCTACTTTGGTGTTTTATTCTCAGATGTCGCCATAAAGTCAATCAGAGACTCTATACGCGAAATTCAATATTAACTGTCTGTTCTTTTATTTCGGTTCACTCTTTATGAGTACAAGCAACAGTTCATCAAAGATTTTTGCTTAGATGAGGAGATATCTTGTGGAATGCAATTTTTATATTCCCCATGTCTCTTTTTACATCTTTTACATCGTATGTTTTGCCTTGCAATTTAGAGAAGGCACAGATTAAAGCAAAAATCTGAAGTTTTATTTCGTCAACCAAGAAATCCTTTGCATTCTCCTTTGGTGTTTTACTAAAAATTTCTTTACTACTTTGGACTAATTTCTTATTATTTATTTCTTCATTTTCTATTGTTTCCGTATTATTTGTCTGGGGATCATTTTTATGGGCATTTTAAGAAGCTTAGATACATATTCTTATATTTTATACATAATATGTTTTTGTGAATTTTTAATCGTAAAGTCAGAATTAAAAAAACACATGCCAATTTCGTGAAAATGAAAAAGATTTTATGCAGCAAAGATCTGACATTGGCCCTCAGAATAAACTTAATTAAATACTATGTACACAGTGTACTCTACTATGGAGCTGAATCATGGACATTAAACTGGAATAAAATAAATCGACTTAACGCATTTGAAATGTGGACATTTAGAAGTTGGTTAAGGATTCCATGGGTAGATACAGTCACGAACACAGAAGTGTTAAGGAGAATAGGCAGAGAGAGGGAAATGGAAAATACAATAAAAGAAAGGAAATTGCAATATTTCTGACATGTGATGAGAGGCGAAAGATACAACATCTTGAGACTCATAATTCAAGGAAAAATAGAGGGTAGGAGAAGTGTGGGAAGAAGATGTGTTTTCCTGGTTGAAGAACCTGAGAGTGGTTAGGTTGCAGCTCAAGGCAATTGATCAGAACAGTTGCCTCGAAGGTCAGAATAGCCATGGTGAATGCCAACCTTCGTCGTGGAGATGGCACTTAAAGAAGAAGATGGCTGTTATTTGCATTTCGGGATCAGCAATTTATATTTGTGTATACATATTTATGATACATTGTTTTTCATTTTATGATAAATAGTCCAAATCAACTCTCGGCGTTTTTAGGTGGAGAAGGGCGATTACTACTGGTACTTAGATTCTTACACGAGGGAGTGTTTACACCTTTTGCAATTCTTATTGGCTTTTGCAACGTTTGTACAGACGTTACTTATTTCAGTTATTCAAAAAATGATTTAAGTATTATTGTTCAAAAACAAGGAAATTAATATTTTAGAGGTTTTTGGACTGAAACTGATAATGGTTTTAGGATAATTGAGTTGTTAAACATTACATGAAACAAACTTTCAAAGGGACTATATATTCCCAGTTATTAAAATAAATTTACAAAATGGCGCTTCTTCGCCATTGCGAGTTCATTTGACTGAGTTCAGTTACCCAAAAATTTTAGACACCCACTGTATACTTTGTTAACGAAAATATCGTACCAAGTAAAAGTGACTCATTTTTAAAATATTTTTACATTAAGAAGTGTACCTACCTGTTGTCGCCCCGTAAGACCATACCTTCCTATGATTTTTCTCATTTCTTCTTTTTCTTTAATATCCGGAAATTCTTTCATCATATACTCAAGCGGCGAGAGGTCTAAATCTAGTAGTTCGTGTAGATGCTGATGGTACCGGGCAATACGTAAATGAGAATTTTTCCTAATCATACCTTCTGTTGGAGTAAGCTAAAACGAGTTGATTTAATATTATGTAATTAAATTTAGCTCTAATTTAGAAAATATATTTCTCTCCGCCATTGGCAATTAGTGTTACGCCACTGTTTCCCAACCTAACAATCGAACGCAGACCCGCGTTGCCAGAAGATGGCCGAAAGATCGAGAAAAAGAACCGGTGATCAGAGGGTTTCGATGAAGTTCCAAGAGAACTATACCGTTACGTGGTGATGTCGGTAGAAAATTCCAGTGACGTTTCAATGCAGAGCCAAACCGAATAAATTAATATTCTGTTTCTTTTTGTCAATTAGAATAAGTATAAAAGATAATTACTGAAATGAGTACGAAAATATCCTGAAAGAAGTTGTAGGAAAGAAGAAACAAGAAAGGAAGGGGACAGAATGGTATGATGCGGAATGCGCACAGGCAACTCAAAAAAAGAATCAGGCGTATGGGAAACTCCAAAACAGAAGGACAAGACCAAGATATTTGAAAAACCAGCCACAGGAACTAGAAAGGCTCAATTCACAAAGCGAAGACCAAAATTTTATAAAAATGTGAACCACAACACAAAAGAATTTAAACCTAGAATAACCATAATAAATAGGAGGCCGAAATTATCAATGAGCCGGATCAAATAGTGGAGAGATGGGCGGAAAATTTTGCTGTGAAATTAAATATAGGCAACCAAGAAGTGACTGACATAAATAACCATAGTGGACATGTAGACGATGAGAGGGAGAAAAGTAATATACCAACAGAAGAAGTTGCCAAGGCAATAAAAAGGTTAAAAAACAAAAAATCCCCTGGAGAAGATGGTATACCACCTGAGCTGTTAGTATGGTATGGAGCAAACGCCCTAAAAAAATGCATAATAAAACTTGTTGCATCCATTTGGAGAGAAGGAAAACTCCCAGACAGTTGCGATGTAGGTATTATAATACCTATTCACAAGAAAGGGGGTCCACTAATATGTGACAACTATCGAGGCATTACCCTCCTAAATACGGCTTACAAAGTACTGGCTTATATACTTTATGATCGTTTACTAGTATATACTGATGAAAAAATAGGCAAATACAAGCCAAGATCTAGATTTAAAACTCAAGTCGAAGATGACTTGAGAGATGTAGGGGTCAGAAATTGGAAAACTAGGGCGAAAGATAGGGGGAATGGAGAATAATTCTTGAACAGGCCAAGACCCACCCAGGGTTGTAGAGCCAAAGATGATGATAAAAGACTACTAAATCTAAAGTAAATAAATAAATAAAGTGTTTGCACAATTTAATAATAAATTAAAAGATTGTAAATAAAAGTTAATAAAAACATTACATTAGATTGACAGTTTCATCTTACTTTGGTGGTTTTCAATATCAAATCAGCCAAAAATGGTGAAACAGACTGTATTATTGTTTTTGGGAAGGAGTTTTTACAAAACGATTTCCGGATTGAAAGTTGAAACGCCAAAGACAAAAACCAAGTGATTTTAATTATAATTATTGCGGTTGACTATTGTTGATAAAATATGAATATTCAGTGTCCAATATACTACATCAAAATATTTTCAATAGTTATTCAAATCTTTTAGTGTAGAAAAGTTAAAATTGTATAGTAAATATTATAAACAAAACATTAATACTCACATCACCATATAATAATTTCAAGAGAGTACTCTTTCCTGCTCCATTGGGTCCCACCAATGCTAACCTAGTGTCCAGATCTATACCGAATTCCAAATTTTTATAAATCCAAGGTGTAGAATCATTATATTTAAAACTGACATTTTGTACCATAATCACTGGTGGAGGTATAGTACCACAACTGGGGAAATAAAAAGTGACAATTTTGTCACTTACCACTTTTTCAGTTAGACCCTGAGCTACCATTTTGGCTAGCGTTTTTTCTTTGGACTGCGCTTGTCTCGCAAGCTTTGCTGATCCGTGCCCAAATCGTGCAATATAGTTCTACAATAAAAAAAGTTATATTTTACTATGATAATTACTTCTTCATAAAACTATAGTTGCCTTAGCTCATTGTCCATCCTGCCTAGAAATGGCAGGATGGACAATGAGCTAAGGGCGACACCTCTCTGGGAGGATACACAATGGGTCAATTGTGGCCTAAGTGCTGTGAAACTTGACTCGCCCTCCCTACTCTACAGATACAGAAGTCAGAGTAATAAATGTAGGACTGCAGTTAGTTTTATATTTTTTTATGTCGATTATTGCAACAATGAACAATATTTAAAAGTCTATCTTTTACTTACCTTCATATGGTTGATTTGATCTTGTTCCCAATTATACTGTTTCATTTGATTTTCCAAAAGTTCCATTCTAGTCTTAACAAAGGCATCATAATTGCCGGTATAATATTTGAGCCTTTTTTTATTTATGTGTATTATGTTTGTGCATACACCATTTAAGAAATCTTGCGAATGTGATATCAACACTAATATTCTTTTGTAACTAAAAACAAAAATACCTCATTGAAAACATCTTTTTTTCCAATGTTATTAAATTTTAGATGACAGTATTTATTATTTCTTGTATAAGTATATTTGTTTTTAAAATTTTTATTTTGTTTAACAGCAAATGCACAATTTTCAGAAAATCTTTTTATTAGCAGGAATGATGATTATATTTCATTACAGGAATGCAAATGCGTTTGTATACATGCCTTAAAATTTAAGCAGAATTTTAACTTCCTGAAACAAAATATATAGCAGTATATATCATAATACTATGTACTATGACTAAGAAGATAATATATTGTGCATCGTTGTGACATCACGTTCGAAATGTCAGTTTTTTGTATGTATCAATAAGTAATTTTTAATAAATAGTTTGGAGATATCCTTATGTGTATGATTATTGTAATTATTAAACCTCTTAATTTATTTAGTAATTTAGTTCGCCTAGTAATTTCATCACAGAATGCATATAAATCCCATACAGCTTTAACAAGAATTCAAATTCTACTCTTCAATGACGGCATGCGCGAACACGACCGATTTTGTGCTACGGGAAGATCATGTAATATATGAAGCGACCAACGTCACTTACATAAGAAATCCAGATACTATAAAATATCTTATAAACATTGTCAGTGATTGTGATTCATCATATTCTGTGAACATCAGATTTTGTGCTACATAAATAAATTAAATATATTTTAAATGTAAGTCCTTACTTTCTTAATTCCTCTTCTAACCATACACAGGCATCCAAATCCAAATGGTTGGTAGGTTCATCTAATAATAGAAGATGTGGCTTGACATAAAGAGCTCTAGCTAGTGCAATACGCATTCTCCAGCCTCCACTGAAATCTTTCGTCTTTTTATTCTGCATTTCTCTGGTAAAACCAAGACCATGTAGAATATTAGCAGCTCTTGCTTCGGCTGTATCAGCTGCCATATCATCCAATCTCTCGTAGATATCCATTAGTTGTTCCTGAGATTCATCATCTTCACATGCAACTAACTCTTCTGCCAACTATTAAAAAATTTACCAGTAAAAAATCAAGACAAAGTAAAAAAAACTAAAGTATAGTAAACAATTCAATACCTACCACAGTTTTCTAATATATAATGCAACTATTTCCAACCAAGGTAGTTTTCATCTTTCAAGTGATAGTTTTCTATAATCTACCTCTCCTCTTTATTCATTTTCATATTCTATTTTCATTTTTTATATATTCTTTAGTTAGGAGTCTTCCTATATATTTTTGAACAATTAAGCCTGTAATTGGTTAAACTGTGCATTATGTATTTATTGATTTCCTAAATGTGTCCCCCACTAGTTCATTCTTTGCTGTACCTCATAGTAGCTTCTTATTATCTTTTCACTAATATCACTAAGACTAATATCATTTCACAGGATTTCCTCATTGCTTATCATTTCTAGCATATACTACAGGAGATTTTGATATTATTTTATATAGCGAATCCTTTGTAAAACAAAATTACATGGTCATGTTCCAATTTTCTTTTACAGACAGGAGTCCACAGTATCCAGATTACATTTTTTTACACTACAGTATGCTTGTTAGCACCAGACTTATTGCTATGATTGTTTTTAAGTTTCTCAGTTCACTATATCATTTTTTTATAATAAAAATAGTTTATTCTATACATATAAATCAAGACAGATAGAAGCTACTTCAATGCATTTTGAAAGGTATAGAAAGACCTCAACACAGCTATTTCGTATAACAACCAACAAAGTCATCATAGCCAGAATGATCACCAACATTCTACCCAGAATGAGGCACCCTAAGAAGAATATAAAAACTGCATGTTTTGTTTTCCTCTGCTACTCTGGATTTAACATACCTTCATACTTTCAAATTTTATAACTTCAAAATAGTGGACTGTCTGTCGAGTACCAAATGCCTAGTTCTCCAAGATCTATTTGGAATTTCGAATTTTTTGCTTTAATTTTGAATGTTTTTACCACAGCTACTGAATGTGCAATGACTGAACATGAATATTAGTTAATGAAACTTGTGGCATATTACTCTTCAGCTCAAAAGTTATAACTATTTTTTTATATCAAAGAGAATGGTTAAAAAGAATAGTGGAAAGTTGATAGAATTATCAAAGACCATGATTTACCACAAACTCTCTTGTTTAATCATACTAGCACATAATTTCATCACTTAGCTATGTTTATATTTTAATTTTATTATCTAACACATAGTATGTGGCACATAGTTCTTTTTATCAAATAAAAACTAGGGAAAGGACTATTTATTTCCTCCATTATCAAGTCTTGCATAAGCCAAATTGCCATGTATTTAGATTTTCATTCCATTGTGGAATCTAAGTTTCCATCCACTTTTCATTATGCTTTATTAATTTCTGCTTTTGTATAATCACTAGCACGTAATTGAGAAAGAAAAATATTTTTTGTATAAAAAGTATTGGACATTAGATAAATTCCAAACTGTAAAATCTATTTCCAACATATATTAGCTACAATCAATTAAGTAAAGTACTATCATTTTTCTAAGATATTCATTATTTATTCAGCTCAGCAGGGAGCAAGGTGTGAAATTCCATAAACAAAAGATCTATCTGTTTTATGGAATAATCCCTTGTTTACGGAAATTCACACCTTGAACAATAGCAAGCAGTTGAGCTGAATATTAACAAATCAACTCTTAGAAACATGGTAATACTATAACAGTCATTATATACTTAAATTCTTACCTTTTCCAACCTCACTCTTTCCTCATCTACCTCCATAACACATTCAAGAGCTGTTTTATCAGAAGCAGGCATTTCCCTAGTTAAATGGAAAATATCTATATGATCTGGAATGGGTACTTCTCTGTTACCAAGTACTGCCAAAATTGTGGATTTTCCACTTCCATTTAAACCCAGAAGTCCATATCGTCTACCGCAGTTCAATTCCAATAAAGCATCTTGTAACATTTCACAACCATGAAAAGTAATGGAAAAAGTATCTATTTTCACATCTCTAGATTTTGGATGCACTGCTAAAGAACCAGTACATGCCCGAGCTTCTGCATTCAAACGGGCATCAGCTTCAAGTTTTGCACATAAGGCTTCTACAATAAATAATAACTATGTGATAGATTACAAAAAAATCAATAAATGATGACGAATTCTTTAACATTTAACTATCATTGAGTAAATCATCCAAAAATACACATTTTAAACCATATTTTACTGTCACTGTTTATCATATTTGTTACTGGATACAACAGAAAACTTGAACATATTTATATTTTTTAAAGTTAAAAGCTTACTTGAAAGAGTTTATTTTTATTATTAGAAATATTATATTTTTATTTTTTAAATGATATATAAAATAGATATTAAGTTTTTTATTGTATTTTAAATTTAATACTGTGTGTTTTGACATCATTGATATAAACCCTTCTCACTTCTTATTGGGCAAAAGTAATGTTACTAATGTCAACAAGTTTATTCCATTAACTAAACATAATAAGGCATTCAATCCTAAAAGTGTAAAAAAGTACAATATTATATAAAGAATCTATTATATCATATTGGAATCAGTAACATGAATTAGTGATGTGGGTGTGACTCTTTACATCGTATTAACTTTTTTATCTCACATTTCCAGTGTGGTACCAAAAGTAAATGCCATGTTTTATATGCCATAAATATGTTACTTTATGTATCTTTTTCTACTCTCTTACTTGTAAATTGTATATTACCTACTATTTGGATGCTAAGTAAATACATCAAAACAGATACTGACAAGTAATGACTAACACATAATAAAAAAAATTACGGTTCAGTTCTATAAAAATGTGTAATATCACATAAGCCTTGTAAGTCAGTTGGTCGAGTTACCATTCAGTGTAAATATAGTGGTAATTTAAATACAGATAAATAAAATGAATTCATTGAATAGTTCAGATGAATTTAGTAGCACACCACCCAATATTATGCAGTTAGCTGCGAACACTACCGAGAATCTATTACCAGAAAAATCTAGAGGAAGATATGAAAAGGTATATCAGCAATTTATGGATTGGCATACAACAAATAATGTAAATTCATTTTCTGAAAATGTACTCTTGGCTTATTTTGGAGAAATCGCTAAGAAATTTAAACCATCCTCATTATGGGCAATATATTCTATACTAAGAAGTGTTATATCTTTGAAAAATAATGTTAATATTGAAAATTACCCGAAATTGTGAGCTTATCTAAAAAGGCAATCAGAAGGTTTTAAAAACAAAAAATCTAAAATTTTACATCCTCATGAAATAAAACTTTTTTTAAATGGAGCTCCTGATGTACAGTACTTGTTAATAAAGGTATGTTATTTAAAAGTATAACATAAATGTGTAAACAAGAGTTAAAAAATCTTAAAATTTGTGACATTGATGATTTAAGTACCATGTTATTGGTTAAAATTCCTGATATGAAAACAAAAATATGTAGATCTTTCGTTATTTCCGGAAATTTCTATAAAATCTGCAAACAATATATAGAAATTCAACTACAGATTAGCGGTCATAGGCGGTGTTCCTAAACAAATAGCCGAATATTTAAAGTTACCAGATCCCAAAATGTACACAGGTCACTGTTTAAGACAAACTTCTGCTACTATTTTGGTAGATACCAGTGGTGATTTAATGACTCTTAAATGACATGTTGGATGAAAATCTTGAGCAATGATCAGTATAGGGCACTCACCATAATCAAACTTATATTTGACATTTAATATAAGATTAAATGGTGTCAGAGTTGCCACATCTTCAGTTTTTTCATACTCTCATATGATATTAAATAAATAGATTGAAATTATACAAAAATTCATAGATTTTAAATAAATTAAAGATAATAATTAAATGCATATACAATAAAATTAACTAAAATGGTATAAAAAATTAATAGTATTAATTAAATTACTGTATATAAGAGAAATGCATTGAAATTATATAAAAATTCATAGATTTTAATTAAATTAAAGATAATAATTAAATGCATATACTAAAATTTCTTTGGAAATTTACAGTTTATGATTCACAAGTGTCATTGTAGGGGATTGACCATCTGTACCTGATAATAAGAAGGTCCGGCAATGATTAGTTTAAGACACTCAACATAACCAAATATTTTTTTTTTTGTAAAATATGTATGTATATGAATGTTAAAAATATAAAGTTACTTTTATGAAATAATAATTTGTGTTATGAGAAGCTACACATTTTAAATACATATAAAACTTGCCATATTCTTTTTGTAAAATGTATATGAAGGTTTAAAATATGTTACTTTGAAAAGTAGTGAGTATGAAAAATCAGAAGATATGGCAACTCTGACACCATTTAGGCTTAAGTTAAATGTCATATAAAAGTTTGGTTATAAATGGATGCCTTAAACTAATTATTGCTGAAGGTCGTAATAGACAAGATGTGGAAAGTGCTGTCAAATTATTTACAATATTTAACTACATTTAAAGTAACAGAAAATATTTATGAATGCTGTTTTATACTTATTCAAAACTTGTAACTTCTCATAAGACAAATTATAATTTCGTAAAAGTAACTTTATATTTTAAACATTCATATCAATATTTTATAAAAAAATATGGCAACACTGTGACGCCCTGAGGACGCCTTGAGGAAAATATTTTATTTGGTTATGTTAAGGTTGAGTGCTCTAAATCTAAACTAATCATTGCCCAAAATTTTAAACAGATAATACATTTTGTTTCAGGAGTTGCTTAACAGTTCTTCCTGCAATATAACAAAATAGTTATTAGCTTGGGCATATTTTGACAGATTCATAGTAGGAAACCTATGACACAAAAATTCCTACTTCTCAGTAGTAATAGCTCAAATATACTACTATTGCAGACTTCTTCCTTTGAAAAAAAGAAGAAAAATTCTAAACAGTGGAAGTATATACTAAACTCATAAAATAATATAATAAATATATATATATATATATATATATATATATATATATATATATATATATATATATATATAATAAAATATAATATTTTAGTTGTTACAGTTTAACATATTGTAGAAAATATTTGTATTATTTGCATTGTTTATTTTATTTAATATTGTTTTTGTTTAATTCTTTTGTTAGTTCTAATTAATTAATTAGTTAGTTCTATTTTGAATTTTATTGTCATGGATATTCAAAGTTTTCCATTTGTTTCATCAGCTAATGTGTTGGTAAGTTTTTGTTCAACAAATATGATAATATGTTCATTAAAAGTTAATATTTTTAGATGAGTAAGGATGCTGTCAAATTACAAGGTAATGAAATTGCACAAAGGTTTATTCAAAATGCCTACCATTTTTTAAAATTATTTGCCGAATGAAAACTCTATTAGTTACAACTTAAATTGATCATTAGAATGTATTCATCGAATTAGGTAAATGTTACAGATGTTCTTAATAACAAAAACATTTCAGTTAACATCTAAATGTGTGAAAGTCAGAAAAAAGTGTGCGTAAATATAAAGTTGGGCCTGACAAAATCCTCACTTTAAAGAGTGAAAAGTCACAAAAGGAAATTACTGCCTGACATAAATGATAACAGCATCAAAAATGAAATTCGCTTAGAAATTTATCTCATGTATAAAGAAAGTATGTTTCTATTATATATAAAAAAATATATTTTATAAAAAAGTTAGGCTAATTTAGTTTATATTGTTAAGTTGCGCCAAATGTAGGCAACCAACTTAAAGTTTTTGGTATCATTTAGCTTTAGTTTCTTGAGAATAGTTTCAATAAACTAATAAATTTTAATATTATCCAGCTAATTTACTATTTTTTAAAAAGTGATGATAATAACGCTAAATAAGCAATATTTTAAATACTATATAATCACAAAACGTACCCAATATTGTGTATGTTAGTAATAATAATGTACCTAATAAAGTATGTTAGATAAAAAAGGTAAAATCCCGGGTAGTCCAGAACTAGTTTCTGACAGGAATAATAGAATATTAGTATAAGTTTGTAAAAAAGGTCAACGAAATACTCTAATGAAATGAGGTTGAGTGCTTGGTTGTATAGCAATTTCCAGTCACTTCTAATCTGTTAAAAAGTAACTTACTTCGCAAAAAAAAATTACTAAATTCACTAGACAGTCCGGACTGGGATTAGCGAACCGAGTATAACTTCTAATTTGAACACGTAATTTTACAATACACAATTTTATGTAATTATTAAAATGTAATGTCACACTTGAATAATTAAGGTATAAAAAACTATGAAATTGTTGATTTCAGATAATAGACAAAAAATACATATAAACGGGTTACCTTCAGCACTTAAATCATTCGAGCCATTTGTTGCACCATTACTGAGACCATTTGTTTTAAGAGTGTCATTTTGCTCTTCTTTTTGTTTTTCATTCTTTTTTCCTGCTTGTCTGGCTTTTGCTGCATCTTTCTTACGTTGTTGTTCACGTTTCTTAGCATCGGAGGGCATTGTTATTAATTAATTTGAATACTTTATGCTAAAAGAAAAAAAAATTAATTTAACAAGTATTGAAAGTTTGTGGAAAGTTACTGATATAAGCACTAATTCGGGTAAAAAAACTTCAGTTACTCTATTTAGTACTTAGCATAATTGTAAAACTAATACATTATCTAAATAGGACATAAAACTTACCTCGATAATACCTAAAAATAAAATCGGCTCAAAATTACATGTGTCCTCTAATTGAATGGACACAAAAGAGGTCTATGGCTGGTTGAATGTGACAGTCAGTGACAGTTAAGTTTGATTTGACATTTTAAATTAATTTTAGTCGATTTTACGAAATGTTGTTTTAATGATTACTAAGACAACTGACAAGCACCATAGACTAAAGAAACAATTATTTATTATTCTGTACTAGTACTCTTCTGGGCATCGAGCAAAATTCTGGGACACTAATAGCACAGAATAATAAATAAGCAGAATGCTCACTCTACTGGAAAAAAATAAGTACGCGCATCTCGCTCGCGCAAACGGAATCAGCCATGTTTTAGTCGGAACCAGTGTTGTTCAGTGACATTTTATCTGGTGTGCATATAATAGGTAATACATATAGTATCATGGGTAATGCATAGGCATACCCGGTAATTTATTTACGGCAACTATAGAGATAATATTATGCACTATTTTATTCATACTTTTAGATGAAGAATAGATTCAATTATTTCAAATTTAATAAATTATTATTCTCTAAAAATTTAAATTATGGTTCTGTCGTAGCTTGTCACAAATTTCTCATTCCAAGTCTGTGTTTCCGTTTAAAATATGGCGATCGCTTGTTGACAAACTTCAAAGGCGGCATCTGAGAGTAGGCATTCTGATTCTGATTGTTATTTTTATTCTGTGATATTGCTAAATAATAAAACAATTCGTTATAAAGCAATATCACAGAATAAGAAACAATCAGAATGCCCACTCTTAGATGCCGCCTTTAAAGTTTTTCAGCACGCTATCGCCATGTTTTAAACGGAAACATAGACTCGAATTGAGAAATATGTGACAAGCTACGACTGAACTGTAATTTAAATTTTTAGAGATTAAGAATTTAGTACATTTGAAATAATTTAATATATTCTTCAACTAAAAGTACGAATAAAATAGTGCATATATTATGTCTATAGTTGCCGTAAATAAATTAAACCGGGTTAACTTTTCTATCCGCACCAGATAAAATATCGCTGAACACCACTGGTTCCGATTAAAACATGACTGAGTCCGTCCGCGTGAACGAGATGCGCGTACTCATTTTCAAGCAGAGTGGGCATTCTGATTATTTATTATTCTGTGGCAACAGCTATTTAAAGTCTTGCTAACTTCATACTAGTTACTCGTTTAAAAATCCCTCCAGAGTTGAATAATCTTTGCCACAGAATAATAAACAATCAGAAGGGCCACTCTCAGATGCCGCCTTTGAAGTTTTTCAGCACGCTCGCCATGTTTTAGGAGGACACAGACATATGATGTGTGTGGTTATGTAATTGTTTATATTTATGTTTAATTATATTATATTTATGTTATTATATTTAACAATGTTAATATAATTGTATAGTATGTCTATGATTGCCGTAAGTCAAATAAACCTGGTTAATTTTTCCATGCACACCACATAAACAACACTAATTTCTTTAAAATCCTCCTAAAACATGGCGGAACGTCTGCGCGGAGGAGATGCGCGTACTTAATTTTCCGTGGAGAGTGGGTATTCTGTTTGTTTATTATTCTGTGTCTTTGCTCTGCTTTGACAATTTCGACAATTGACATATAATGACTGACCGGTGTTTTGGTTTTTGATTTATAATTTTTTTTGGAAATGTAGGTTACATATATTTTAAAATTAAGTATCAAAACATATACATGATTTTTCGAAATAGTGTACATCATTAACATTAAAATGGCAAATGTTCTCACAAGAATTGTTTCAAGGGCAGCATGTGGTAGATTAGTCAAAAGAGAATTTTCCATACTTTCCTACTACCCTTATCCTTGCATAACTAGATTAAACAAACGCATAAACGACTATAGTTTTAGTTGTGATAATTATAATCTAAAATTTCGTATCAATCCACAAATATATAGTATTTGCAAATATTCCGATAATCAAAGGGGTGAAAAGCCACCTGAAAAGTTGACACTTTTTCAGAAGTTCAAGCAAATGTATAGAGATTATTGGTATATATTAGTGCCAGTTCATCTTTTCACGTCCAGTATTTGGTTTGGTGGATTTTACTACATGGCAAAAAGGTAAATTATTTTATAGGTCATTTATATATCATATAATTTCGGCAATTATTGTCAACTTTTAAATTAGGTATAGTATAGTAACTGTTTCCCTGGATATTTTTGTATAAGAATATTTTGTATCACAAACTATATAATTTTTTAAGAGCATTATGCAATAATAATTGCTAGTACTGTTTTATTTTTATGTACTATTTTCAATGTTCCTTTAGACATAAAAACTTCAGTTGATATCAATTTTCGGAATTTAAAAAATTGTATCAGTCTTTATACTACAATACTAGAAAAGTATATTTAATAATGAATATTTTGATTGTAAGAACAAGTTTGATTAATTAACCAATGTTAGCTATTCAAAACTAGTTTGACAAATTGTTTATTCTTCTATACTTACATAAAAAAAATATGATATCTGTGCTTAATTCATTGCAAATTAGTAAAATAATCTTTTGGTTACAGTGGTATTGATATTGTACATATATTGGAATCATGGCATGTCAGTGAGAAGGTATTAAATCCACTGAGAGATTCAAGTATGGGTTACCTAGCCGTTGCTTATGCATGTTATAAGATTGCTACTCCAGCAAGATACACAGTTACTTTAGGGGGAACTACTATTTCTATCAACTATCTAAAAAAATGGGGTTATATCAAGCCTGTACCTAGTGCTGAAAGAATGAAAGAAATATATCAGGAGAAAAAAGAAAATATTACCAAGACTGTACGAGAAGGTATAAAAGAAAAAAAGGAAACTTTTATGGACAGTTTGCATGAAACCACAGAGGGTATAAAGGAAAAGAAAGATAATTTGTTAAAAACTGTAAAAAAATCTGCTGATATTAAGAAAACAGAATTTAAGAAAAAAACATAGTGTAGCTAATGTATTGTTTTTTAATGATTTTTGTTGAAATATATTAAAATGTTATTTTTTAAGATTGTTGTAATCTTTTGTTTACAATTTTTACCTAGAAAGATCAAAACTTATAAAATCAGAATTATTTTATAAATTAAAATATATTTTAATAAATATACCATAATGACTGATTATTGTATCAATGTACACAAAATGTTTCATGCAATACTTGGTACATTTTTTAATTGCAATTTTTTTGCTGCAATTGTATGAACAATGCTATTTGAAGCATTGTAAAGTTAAGTTCACATTTTTTTTTTACCAATAGTTGAGTGGATAATGCATGGAGAGCCAAACAATAGCGGAAACAAATAAAAATAAAATAAAAACAAAGCATTTTAAATATTTCTGCTTTCTAGTGTCACAATTCATCTGGTAGGAAATAATAAATGGGCTTTTTTGGTACATCCTTTGGTATACAACAAAAAATTTTGAGTAGTACAGAAATGACTTTTAATAGTCAGTTGAATGAGGACCAGCTTCATTCTGATGTTGACTATTGACATTATCCAATGTGAATTTATTTTATAAATATATGTATTTGTATTCACTATCCAGAAACAAATCACCCTGAATAGATAATCTCCCTGCTGAAGTATATAAAGAAGGTGGCCATGATACCATAATGGCATTACAGCAGCTTATAAAAGAAATATGGACACAGAAATTCCTCCCAAATGATTGGAATACTTTGCACCATACACAAAAAAGGAGATATCTTTGAATGCTTTAACCACAGAGGAATTACTCTTCTAAATGCAGCATATAAAATATTTTCCACAATACTATGTCATCATATGGCACCATATTATGCAGAACCAATAGTAGGAAAATACCAGGCTGGTTTCAGAGGTGGTAAATCAACAATTCATTAGATTGCAACCCTGAAACAAATTTTGGAAAAAACACTAATATGGCATTGATACTCATCACATATTTATAGACTACAAAGCTGCCTATGACTCCGTGAATAGAAGAGAAATGTTCAAAACAATGAAAGAGCTAGGAATACCAAATCAGTTGATAAATTTAATAAAAATAACTCTTGAAAAAGTTGAATGTAGAGTACAAATTCAGGGGCAACTGTCTGAACCTTTTAAAACAAATAACAGGCTGCTCTCCTGTATACTGTTCAATCTGCCTCTGGAAAAAGTCATATGTATAACACAAATCACAACCACTGGTTCAATATATAATAAATCAGCAAATCCTGGCCTATGCTGATGATATCAATATTGTTAGGAGAACGGAAAATGCTATATGAGAGGCGTATGTAGTATTAAAAGAATCTGCTGCAAAAATGGGATTCATAATAAATACCAACAAAATAAAGTATATGAAAATAAGCACGCAACCACAAATCCTACGACCACTTGTTATAGAAAAGGACGTCATCGAAGCAGTGAACGTATTTGTATATCTGGGAGCGTACCTTAACACTGAAAATAATACTACCACAGATATAATCCGCAGAATTTGCACGGCCAACATATGCTATTTTAATCTACAATTATATCGATACAGAAAGTATCTCAAGAGATATTTGGGGGTCGAGGTCTGATGAAACTATCCTGAAAATTGTAGCCCGTTATGTATGAGTGATACAGTATGTCGCACCCAAACTAATATCTTCCATTGGCCAGATTTACAAAGTTTATGCTTAATTTTGTTTAAATTTCTTATAAACAAATTAAATCTCAACTTTTTACTGAAATTTTTAGTGTTTATTTATTATTACTTTTTTTAATAAGGAAGATAAAGTAATTTTTCAAAGTTTTTTTAAAGCTGCAATAATTACCTTTAAAATGATTGGATTTCGAAAGTTACTCGCTCGTATAAAAGCTGAGTTATACTTGGAAACGCCCAATCGAATGCCTATTTTGGAATCGTTTTTCACGAAATTTGTTATATCTCCGGTTCTAACTATCGGATCAAAGTTTACCTAACACCATTTTGTCAATTTTTTCAAAAGGAACAATTTTCCTTGTGTTAAGATCTAACAAACTCCAATAGTTTAGGAGATATATACAATCATTTAAACAAATAAATTG